TTGATCCTACTCCAAACGCACATTTCTTTGGGTTCAACCCCATAGAGTAGTTACGAAAAATATTAAACATTTTGGTCAAATGGGTTACATGGTCGGAAGTGTGTACGTATTTTACAAGCATATCGTCCACGTACACCTCCATCGTTTGTCCTATCAGGCTAGAAAACATTTCATTGACAAACCTTTGATATGAGACTCCAACATTCTTCATTCCAAATGGCATCATCGTATAGCAGTAGAGCCCCCGAGCTGAATAGAAGGATATGTGCTCTACCTGCTCAGGGGATCCATTGGAATTTGGATATAGCCGGAATATGCGCCCATGAAGCTCATTAGTTCGTGGCCCAATGTCGCGTCCACCATGTAATTAATGTGTCGAAGGGGATAGCTGTCTTTGGGACACGCCTTGTTCAAATAGAAAAAATCAATGCAGAGGCGCCACGAACCGTTGCTCTTTTTCACCAGGACCGAATTTGAAACCTGAAGTGAATAAGATTCACCCGGGCTCCTTCAACTCGAACCGGCCTCCGTACCTGCAGAACCCAACGCCGGGGGTGGCCCCGGCGTCGGGCCTCCGATGCTTAAGTCAGTGCTCAGATCAAGAGAGAGAAAGTGTAGTAATGTAATGAGGAGAGGATGACATAATGAGGTACCTTGGCCCCCTTTTATAGGGGAGTGTACCTTTTGGGCCCAAGTTGGGCTTAGATGTCTTAGTGGGCTTATCTTCCAATATGTATCCGCTTTATCCATTAAACCGGGTCCAGTATAATATCCCATATCATCTAGTCCCCCCCACTCTGGTCGAGTAAGCATAACTCGATCCAAGAGTGAAATGCCTCTTCGAGTTGTTTTCTTCAACTTGCCACTAAGATCGCGCATCGAAGGTCGAATGACCATTGAATAATCACTGAAATATCCTCCAAATGAGCTTTGAGATCTCAAGATCGAAAACCCAAAGACCACGGAGGTCGGAAACCAAATGATCTGATGTCGGGGTAAAAAACCGAGAGTCGAGACCGTTGAGGTCGAAAACTGAGAGTCGAGACCGCTAAGGTCGAAAACCGAGAATCGAGACGCTGAGGTAAAAAATCGAGAATCGAGATCGCAAGAGGTCGAAAACTGAGAGTCGAGACCGTTGAGGTCGAAAACTGAGAATCGAGACCGCTGAGGTCGAAAACCGAGAGTCGAGACCGTTGAGGTTGAAAATCGAGATTCGAGACCGCTGAGGTCGAAAATCGAGAGTCGAGACCGTTGAGGTCGAAAATCGAGAATCGAGACCGCTGAGGTCGAAAATCGAGCATCGAGACCGTTGCTCTTTATTGATTTTATTGATATTTTCGTAAGTTTAACAAGACAAATCATGATGGAATGAAAAAAAAAAAAAAAAAACATCTTAAATCCCATTGATGTTCTCCCTTTTTTTTGTTTAATTTCTATAATAGTAGATTAACTATTAAAATCATAAACGTAAATTAAAGTGATTTATGTGGAAGTATATATTTATACAAAATATTAATTCGATTAAAAATTTTAAAATAAAATTAACATACGAGAATGAATTAACACACATAAGAAATATCAGTAATGCTCACCTACCCACAGTGGGCACATGTTAATATGCCCAGCGCTTATGTGGCATGCACACATTGATAGTGTATTTTTTTTAACATATTAACTTTACCAATGTTTGAATGCCACATAAACGGTTGACATATTAACATGTGTCCACCGTGGGTAGGGGAGCATTATCCAAAGAAATACCGTAATACTCACCTACCCACAATGGCACATGTTAATATGCCCACCGCTTATGTGACATGCACACATTGGTGGTGTAATATTTGTTAATTTGTTCTTCTTACTATAAGGTACATATAGTAATTAAGCAGGTATATATGAAGCCAAAATAACATAAATAGATTTAAAAAAAAAAAAAAAAAAAAAATTAATTGATTATGAAGAGAAAACACTAGGCCAGATCGTATCATTTGTATTGTTTATTATATCTTCCCTGCTACACATTCATGTGTAAATTATATATTATTATATTATATACTCTATAAAAAAATTCATGAAAAATTCAGTGTAAGCCTAGGCCCACACTGATCCCTTAATGGATCCGCCCCTGCAGACACGTCGGACGTGATAAAACGGATTAATTTGATAAGTTGAGTTCCGATAGGCTCTTGGAGTTTTGCGTCGATGCAAAGTGGCTTGTTGCATATCGGCTCGTCAACAAAGATGATTTTCACTTCTTACGAGGGCTTAGCTCGGTCACCCCCTCTCTTCTTTTTGAACTGATCTCGGGGGTCCAATACATCGTTGTCTTTAATAGGCTCTTTTCCTAGCCGCCTTCCTCGATCTTGGGTCAGGTTGTCACCCGACCCTTCTTCTGAATTTGTTGGCCTCGGCATCAGTTCCACCGAGGTTGTTGAGATTGGTTTCGAGGTGTCGTTCCCTGGGACCGAGGTGATCCTGGGATTGTAGGCTGAAATGTCGTTATTTGGGACCAAAGTTGTCCCAGAGTTTATGGTTGTGTCCTCGGCCAGATTCTGCTCTGGGGAGGAGGGAAGCTCTTCCGCCTCCCACTGGGTTTCCGGCAGGTTTTGGTGTCCTTCTTCAGTGATGAACTCCTCCATCATATGGATTTCTTGGGAAGGAATCACTAAAACAAGCTCTCGGGCTTCTCGTTGATCCCATAATGCTTACCTTTCCCGTCGGTTGTAGGGAACTTCATGGTATAATGGAAATTGGAGACAACGGCTCTGAGCTTGTACAACGCCGTCCTCCCGAGGATGGCGTTGTATTCGTTGGAGAGGTCCATCACTTTGAACTTTTCCATAACGACTTTTGAGGTTCGCCCGTACCCTCTGAATATGATTGAGAGAGTGATCTCTCCAATGGGGAGACACACGCTCCCGTTGAAGCCACGAACCTTGTCATTGCAGGGAGTGATTTCCTTGGGGTCTATTCCCATCTTCTCAAAATCTCGAAGCATGAGAATGCTTGAATATGCACATGTGTCCACCATGATTCAGTGGAAAGGAATGCCACAGATCAGTGTGGTGATGATGAGCATGTCCGAGTGAGAGTGGTCGAACGAGCTGACATCCTCGAGGGTAAAGGTGATCGGGCAAGTCGCGAGTTTATCGTTTCCCTCAAATATGTAGTCATGACTTGTTTTCCTGAGTTGTTACGCCCTTCAGGCGTACGCCTTCGCCTGTCTGCGTGAGGAGGTCGGCTCCCGTTGTTGGTGTTGACTCGAGGAATGGAGCTGCTGCGAGAGGAGGTTAGGAGGTTAGTAGTAGTTAAAGTGAGAAAATAAACATAGCTAATTAGGCCATTGTAACTTTTCCCAATGTTATTAAAATAGCCCCTACTTGGCTTGGGTTACCCTCCGGGTCACAGAACTACCGATTCAATTGTCATGTTATCGAGTCAATTATAGAACTGAATAATTAATTTAAAATTTTTAACTTATATTTATCTTATAATCATACATAAAAATTAAAAAATAAATAATTGTTTACTTCAATTATATAGCTTAAATTTTAATAATACTGTATCTTATTATAAATATTCACCATACAAACAGTGACAGATCTAGGAATTTTAATCTGGGAGTAGTTTAGTTGGAATGCTCATTTCATATAAAAATATGTTCACTTATAAATATAAATATCGATATGTGTACCATCACGTTTGTAAAAAATTAGAATCCGTATCACCCGCAAATTTTTGAAAAAAAAAAAAAAATGAGATTTCACCCTCAAATTTTTGAAAAAATAAACGGAAAAAATAGATTTCATGTATTTAAAGTTTAAGATCAACTTCTATAATTTATGAAAAAATAAGCTTTTTTTTTTATAAAAATTAGTTTTATTTTGAACTTTTACAACACATTGCATGGCATTTTTGTTGATGAGAGCCGATCAAATGACAATTTCTTAAGAAAAAAAAAAAATAAAGTTTGAAAATATATAATTACACAAAAGTAATAAAGTAAAAAATCAACATTAAAAAATCTAACAATTAAACCAAATAATCAATTTTGTAAATCACTAAATCGATTTACGATTAAGAGGCTGACAGAGTAATCATTACACACAGTGTCATAAACTTATCTGGAAATGTAAAATATAAGGTTTGCTAGTATTTTTCAATAAATAAATAATATTATTAATTTAATTTAAATAACATAAAAATAAGTTTTAATTATTTATATATTGCAAAAAATATCCAAATTTTTAGTTCTTTCTTTTTATATGTATATATATAATGAATTTAAAAAAAAACAGGGAGGTCCGTCACGACATATAAATATATATACATACATTTTTCTAGATAGAAATATTCTTAAAAACAAAAAATATGTAATGGTCGAGTCAAATAGAGTTGAGAAGTTAATTCTTAAATCAATTTGGGTTGACTTTTTAGACTCCATGGAGGATCCACTTTAACTTGTCTTGCATTTGTAATGATTTGGGTCTAATTTTGCATATGTGACATTTGAATAAACCAAAGTCTTAAATGACATAAAAAAAAACAATACAAAATTAATATAATTCACCCCAATGCAAGATACTAGGCCTCTATTTTGGTGTAAAATAAACTTAAATGTATACCGAGTCTCTTTTTCTTGCTGCCACATCAGCAGACCCAGTCTATTTACACTTGAATTGGAGAATATATCTTTAGACTGGACCTATTATGTAGGTGTCATATAAAAATTTTTAATTGAACTCAAAGCATTGTAGATGCTCGGAGTCTCAACTCGACGGGTGGGTGAAAATATTTTGATTCCTAAAATGAATTAATTAAAAAAAAAAGAATGATGCTTATGTGGAGATTTGGCCTTTTACTAGAAAAGAAAGCTTCTCTTGTATGTGAATTGTGATATTTTCCTCGTTCTTCAATCTCCGTCCACCCAAAATACACCCACCTACATAAAACCGAGAGAGAGAGAGAGAAAAACCGAGAGAGAGAGAGAGAGAGAGAGAATGGCAATAGTAAACGGCTGCCTCTCTGTGACCTGCACTGCGTCGCCCGCTTCACAAGACTTTCCAAATTCTTCATCACAGTCTAGACCGCCGACGAAAATCATTCTCCCCAACAGAAAACCTTTGAAATGGTCCACTGGGGTGGCCCCGGGGAATTACGGTGGCCCACCCGCCACTTCCAAGCTCAGAAAATATTGGGGTGGAGACGAGGACCCTCTTGCCTCCGATGACTACTTGTGGAATAGAGATTTCATGGGTCGCATGAAAAGGCTTATTCAAGCCCCTGACGATGCTCAGGATTCGTCCTCCGACTCATCTTCTTCTAAGGTTCTTCTGTTTCCTCACCACTCGTTATCTTGTTGATTAATCTTTTTTTTTTTTGTGTAATTTTTCCATTTCTTTTTGTTTTGCCTGTTCACCTTTTTGATTGGTTTGAGATTGAATTAATTGAAATTGATGATTTCTATTGTTAAATAAATGTGTGCAGATTTCTTTAGAAAAGTCGAGTGTTTATGACATTTCTAGGGTGTATTGAATTAGTTGATCACTGATGCTATTTGGAGCCATTTTCTTTATAGGAGGAGCCTTCTGGGTTTCTTAATTTGAATCGAGTCATGAACTTGGACAGGTATGTATCCCTGTGAATGCTGTAATTATCATCTTTCATTCACTGCGTACCATATATAACAGGCCTCTTTGATTCTGCAGTTTGGATATTGACTTGAGTAAAGAGCTCAAAGCAACGTCAGCCACAGTAGTGGAACTCGAAGCTGAGGAACAAGTATAATTTGAAATGTCCAGATGCATTTCGTCTATATCTATATTACGCATTGTACTATTTTACATCCTTCCTAGATAACTCATCAGGCATGAAATATAATGTTTGTAGACTGTTAGAGGTCCTGGTAGAAGATGGAGAGCGGCCCCCACACGTCGTGAGCAAGAGAAGTGGGGTAGAGCTACCAAGGCCGCAACTGGTGGCAGTGTACGTAGTGTAAATTGTAGATTACAGTTTTCTGATTATGTAAAATTGTTAAGAGGTAGTGCATTGTTTCTTTTTATAATGGTTTTTGTGAGTATAATGTCCAGTTATCGAGCAATTTCACTTTCTTCATTTGTTCTGTTTTGATCTTCAGGATGTCATGCTTCGGGAATCGAGACGCTCTAGGGGGGACCCTCAAGTATTGGCGGCTCAGTCTAGGGAACAGTACTATAAGGTGCTCATTTAAATTATTGATCTTCTATATATATTCGTCAAAGGGCCCGTTCTCAACAATCTGCCTTGTTCAGTTGAAAAACAAATTGCAAGCACTTACACTGGCAATTGGTGGTTTTGGAGTTCTTTCGTCCTACTTTGCGTATACGCCAGAAATCGCAGCAAGGTACCTAAGGCTACTTATATTTAAGCTAATATTGGAGTTCTCATAGCATGACGACTATCATCCTTAGCAACGTCCATTTTTTTTTTTAAAAACGGAAGCACATATAATATTTCAACTTGCATATAGTCAGTATCATGATCGTAAATAGTTCATTCTTGATCTCTATTGGAATTATTATTCAGCATTATCCTATCTCTGTACTCAACAATCAATGAAGGATTTTCTTTATTATGAATTTCATTCAGCTATGGTGCTGGCTTGCTTGGTTCAGTGGCATATATGAGAATGCTTGGGAACACTGTAGATTCCATAGCAGATGGAGCAAAAGGACTTGTCAAGTATGTTTTTCCCTTGCTCTTCTTCCTGATTCAAAAATCTTGGAAAGACCTTTAGTAATTTATAGTAAGCTCGGGAATATTATTGTATCAAAGTTCTGGGCTATACTTGATCGACACAACTGATTATGGAGACTGGTTGATTTAACTGCCGAATAGAAATTCATTTACTCTTCCCAAGTTCGCCATCTCTCTGAGTCTGTTGTAGAATTAGGGTAAAAATTGTATTACTCAATTACTTAGTCCTCAGGTGAATCTAGAATGCTCCTAATAATTTTCACAACTAGGAGACTAGTCAAATTTGTTTGATTAACTATCTATGATTTCTGCCCTTTTGAAGTTAGTTTATTGTCAAGTGATTACATGACTTTATTTTCTATATATTGCACTGCCTCTATATTGAAGAGGGTCCTTTCATTTACTTGATGACCAGCAAGTAACAAGAGTTAAAATGAGAAGGAAAACTATGTTAATGTTTAATTTGATTTAATGTCCCATACAGATTGCTTCACTTAAAGCTAGGTTCATTTTGTGGGAAGCTAATTGTTGTATTGAGAATATTCTGCAAGTCTCATTGCTCTTTTAGTTAAATTCCCCGTTTCATATCCATTTCCTGCAGTGTTTCCCATTTAGTTTAGGCATCCTTTTTTTCTTTTTTTTTTCTTTTTTTTTTTCAAGTTCCATTGTCCATTTCAGGGGAGCAATTGGACAGCCAAGGATATTGATTCCTGTTGTCTTGGTGATGTTATATAATCGTTGGAACGGGTAAGCATCTAAAAGAGACACTGTTGGGCCCCCACTCTCTTTATGATAAGTTTACACGATCATAATAATTTTATGAACTTACAAAAATACGTGATGTGCAGGATTTTAGTTCCGGACTATGGGTTTATGCACCTTGAATTGATTCCAATGCTTGTGGGTTTCTTCACGTACAAGATTGCCACTTTGATGCAAGCGATTGAGGACACGTTTAATGCAGCTGGTGGGCAAAACCAAGTTTGATTTTTGACATACCTATTAATGGTGATGGAAAGATTACATGGGTGTTTATATTTACATGTGATTTGAGATTGTAATGAATACTGTGTAAAAAGTGAATGGGTTAAAGAATGTGATTTATAGGTAGTATTCTCTTATCTTTCTGGTAGCCATATCCAGTTGGATGATCAACAACCTTCTAGGATCAAAATCCCCAACTAATCTTCTACTGTAGCAGATCGTCTCTCTCGTTCGATTCCGCATAGCCTCCTCTTAGCTGCAGCTTCGTTGACTTCGTGGAGGCGACCCTCCCAGCGCAGTCCTCACCGCCTGGCCTGTTCTGCCTCTTGAGTCGATTTAGCTTGCCCTCCTTGGGTAAGCACGTTGGCTATAATGGTGGCTTATCTTTTTGCGGGGTGAGGGGCGCGGTTGCGTGCTCGGGTTCGGTGGCCTTTGCCTCCTGTCCTCCTCCGTCTCCTGAGGCTGAGACAGGGTGAGGCCGTCGGCGGAAATTCTCTTTGGCTTTGTGCCTGTAGGGGGCTACTGTTGGTTTTGTGGTGAAGTGAAGACGGTGGGGTTCGGGGGTGTTATTTGACCAGTCTTTGCTCGATGGGTGGGTCTAACTAGCCGTCATCAGCTCTTGGTGAAGGGAGTGGTTAATTTTGCTCTGGGGCAGGGGTCTGATTTGGGAAGTTGTCTTCGGCTCTCGTCTCCCTAATGACTCAGATTTTGGGCTGCTCCTCCGGCATGCTAGCAGTTATGGTTGTCGAGTGGTCCCATCCCTTGTGCGGATGCCATGGGCGGTGGTTGTTGGTCGTTGGTTCTTGAGGCGGCGTGTTGTTTGGGCTTGCAACTGTGTGCGGCTGTCGGCCGAGGTCGGTGTTTCGTGCTCTCTGTCTTGTCTATTGGTGACTTAGTATTCGGGGCTTGGTTCTGGTCTCTCGGAGTTTTCGGTGGTGGTGGTAGTTCGGGGGAGGCCTCAGTTTCGTCGGTCTGGGTCGAGTAAGCCATATGGGGAGTTTCTCGACCCTTGTGTTTTTGGGCTGGGGGTTGGAGCCTCTTCAGTTCTCCGCTTTGGAGTCGGTGGGTGGCGAAGGTTCTGGGTGCTTGTTCGGTTGGAGGGGAGGGCGTGTTTCTAGTAGTCTTTTTTTGTGTGTTTTGTTTTGTAGTGTGTTCTGTTTTTTGTGGTTAGTAGTGTGTTTATGTTTTGTGTTTTGCCAGCTTGGGATTGTAGTATTCTCCTGTTGGGAGTAGTGTTTATTCTCCTGTTGGGAGAATATGTGTTTTTTAGGTCTTGTGTGCTGTAGTTGGGTTGGTTCCAGGCTGTCTCGGACTTTCTGCCTATGGGATTTGTCCTCCCAGCTAGATTCAACTAAATAGTTGACTTATTTGTCTTTTATTTTGTAATTATGTGTCATCTAGTTTGTAATTATGCATTTTTTCGCTTAATGGAAGTTTATCATTTTGTAAAAAATAAAATAAAAAATCCAGTGGATGTACCTTGCATATAATTCTGAGAAAGAATCTCCTTAATAATGCATCTAAAAATAATTCATTTTCATAAAATTGCATCCATTTATTTTCGGGTTTTGCTGACATTCATAAGAACTCTCTTGTACCTCCGTATGGAGAGGAGTTCAAAACTTCAAATCCATACATGTTCTCCAGCTTAAAAGTATGCTCAAACATTGTAAACCTGACTCTGACAAACTCAACTTACACGAGAGCTAGAAATCAATTATCGATTTATTATCTTTGGAGTGTGTCTACCAACTAACCTTCAACAACATTATTTCTCGCTACTCTCCAAGTTGGAGATATGAAATCCCAAAATACTTAAAAGTTGCAAACTTGAAGTGCAGTGTATTTCCTCAAAAAGTTACACATTACAGTACTCTGATTTCATCAAGGGTCTCGCAACTTGTAAAGCAAAATAGCGACATAAACACACACACACACACACACATATATCCATGAAATGGGTGGTGGAGGCTCAACTCAACCGGTGTTCTGCAATCCAGCAGCTATACCTTTCATGGTCAAAATAAGAGTGTCCTCCAAAACCCGGTGCATACTCGGTTGTGGGGTTCTTTCTTTCTTTTATTTTTTATTTTTTTTTTTTTTTTCAATGAGCTATAGAATTAAGTAGGCTTCACCTGAAGGATGAGGTTCTTAGTTGCTTCATAGTTGGCCCGCAACTGCTCGCCTAAAGGCCACAAATCCTGCAAGACTAAAAGCTTGTCGTACAACGCTCCGATTCCCGGGTCCCCCTTTGGCCAAAACCATCTCGATCAAGTCGATCGTGACTCTAAAGAATGGCCATTCATTGTACATGTCCTTGAGCATCTGTAGATTCCTTATGTCCTTGTCGATAACGTGTTTCATGGCAGAGCCAAATCCGAGCCACACCGGGAGGTGAAATCTTGTCTGTGTCCACGCAAATATCCACGGGATCGCCCGAAGAGATTCTATTCCCCCGCTTGGTTTTCTTTTGGACGGACGGCTTCCGATGTTCATCCGCCCGTATTCCAATTCCGGAGTTGCCTTGAGAGCAAAAAAAGAAAGGAAAAAGAAAAGGACACGTGATGGTAAGTAAATTGAGATTCTTAACATTTGGGGATGAATTATTTCTACCCAAGTCCATGTATCAAATAAAAGATACTCACGAGACGAAAGTAGTCAACAAATCGAGGCTCCTGGAAGACGACAGAGCGGTATTCCCTGGTGGCGACAACGGCCATCTCGTCCATGAGTGCGCGCCACTCAGGGCTGGGCGCGACGGGTG